CTGCTTCTAACTTTCACCATTTAGGTTAACTGTCTTTGAAAATGGATTTGTAATCAATTCATTTTCTCTCTGAAAATTTGTGCTCATAACATACCACACAGGTCGTAAGTAGTTAAAGTAGTTCTCTAGCACTTTTTACAGTCTTGGCACAAAGCTTGGGAATAGCATTGCCAGAGTTTACTATTCCAAATTTAGTGTTTATGATTTTTATGAGCATTTTATATTATTAGTACATTTAATCTATAAAATTATATGTAGTTGGTTTTAGATTTTTAAAAATAATACACAAATTATATCATAGTATTCTTTTATAATTTGCTTATTTGCCCAATATTATATTGCTAAGATACAAGTATGTTGATAGATATAATCTAGGTTATTTATTTAATTACTTTGTACTATTTCACTGGATAAATTTATGGCATATTTACTTTTAAATTGATAGGTATTTAGATTATTTCCTATTGTCCTCTTTTTCTTTAATGTAAAGCATCCATAAAATATTTATGTACATGATTTCTTGGGTCAGGTGCAGGAGTTTCTCTAGGGTATACTAGTATACCTGGGGACCAAATTGCTGAGTCAGAGAGCATACCCATGTTCTTTGTCTCTGGAATATTGTCCAATTGCTTTCCAAAGTGGATTTACCAAGTCACTCTCCCTTTAACTGTATGTGACATCTTTGTGCTCCACATCCTTGCCAGCATATAGTATTGCCAATTTAGTGGGTAGGAAATAATATTTCATTATGGGTTTAATTTGTATTTTCCTGATTACTAGTAAAATTGCATATTTTGTCATGTTTTGTTTTTGTCATTCATACTTCTTATTTTTTGTATTTCCTTCTTTTATAATTTGCTAATTATTTCATTTATTTATAAAATTGATGTGGAGAGCATATGTATTTATTATTATTATTATTATTACTAGAGGCCCGGTGCACAAAAATTTGTGCACTGGCGGGGGGTGGGGTGGGGTGTGTGTCCCTCAGCCCGGCCTGTGCCCTCTCACAGTCTGGGACCCCTCGGGAGATAACGACCTGCTGGCTTAGGCCCGCTCCCGGGTGGCAGAGGGCAGGCCCAATCCCTAGGTGCAGCCCCTGGTCGGGCTCAGAGCAGGACCGATTGGGGAGTTGGGGCGCCACCCCCTGTCATGCACAGAGAAGGGCGGATCGGGAGGTTGCGATGCCACCCCCAGTCACGCTCAGGGTAGTGCCTATTGGGGGGTTGGGGCACCACCCCCTATCACACTCAAGGCAGGGTCAATGGGGAGGTGGCGGTGCCACCCACTGTCACGCACAGAGCAGGGCGGATCAGGTGGTTGGGGTGCTGCCCCCTGTCACGCACAGAGCAGGGTCCATCAGGGGGTTGGGGAGCTCCCCCCTGTCATGCACAGAGTAGTGCCGATAGGGGAGTTGGGGCACCACCCCCTCCACCCCCTGTCACACACAGAGCAGGGCAGATCAGGGGGTTGGGGCATTCCCCCCTGTCACACACAGTGCAGGGCCCATGGGGGGGTGGGGAGCTCCCTCCTATCAGGCACAGAGCAGGGCTGATCAGGGGGTTGGGAGACCTTCCCCTGTCACGAACAGATCAGGGCGGATAGGGAGGTTGTGGCCCCGCCCCCTGTCACACACAGAGCCGCAGGGCTAATCAGGGGGCTTGGGCGCTGCCCCCTGTCATGCTGCTCCAGGGGCCAGGAGGCCTCACGGCTCCGCTGATCCCAGTGCTGGGAGGCATATTACCCTCTTACTATATAGGATAGAGGCCTGGTGCATGGGTGGGGGCCGGCTGGTTTGCCCTGAAGGGTGTCCTGGATCAGGGTGGGGGTCCTTCTTGGGTGCCTGGCCAGCCTGGATGAGGCAATGATGGCTGTTTGCAGCTGGTCACACCCCCTTCAGGATGGGGGTCCCCACTGGGGTGCCTGGCCAGTCTGGGTGAGGGGCTGAGGGCCGTTTTTAGGCTGGCGGGTGACTGAAGCTCCCAACCTCTCCTTTTTTTCTTTTTTTTTTTAAATTCTTGGATTTATTTACCTTCTATGGCTGTCACTGGTGCTGAGAGCAGTCTTTAGCTCTGAGGCTCGGCTCCAGCTCTGAGACCTTGGCTGCTGAAAGCAGGTCTCTGGGTTTGTTTGGGTTGTGGTCCTGCTCGCTCCAGCTCTGACGGCTGAAAGCAGGTTTCTGGGGATTGTTTAACTTCTATATTTGCAACATAGTTGCTTAGACTGCAGCTCAGAGGCCAGCAGCAGCAGGCGGGGAACCTTGGCTTCCTTTGTCACTGGAGCAAGCAAGCCTCCTGTTTGCTTCAGCTGCCTGGCTGCCGGCCGCCATCTTGGTTGGCAGTTAATTTGCATATCTTGCTGACTAGCCAATGGGAAGGGTAGTGAAGTTATGGTTAATTACCATGTTTCTCTATTATTAGATAGGATTTGCATCTAAGAGTTAAAAAAATTTTTTTTTGCTTAATCCCTTCACTTTTTTCACCCAGTCTCTCAACCCACCTCTTCTCTAACAGCTGCCAGTCTGCTCTCCATGTCTATAAGTCTACCTCCACCCTGCTCCCTCATTCATTCTGTTCATTAGATTCCACACATAAGTGAAATCATGTGGTATTTTTCTTTCTCTGACTGGCTCATTTCACTTAGCATAATATTCTCCAGGTCCATCCATGCTGTCATAAATAGTAAGATTTCATCTTGTTTATGACCAAGTAATATTCCATTGTGTAAATGTACCACAGCTTTTTTTTTACCCACTGATGGGCCCTTGGGCTGCTTCCAAATCCTGACTATTGAAAATGATGTTCCAAGAACATAGGGGTGCATGTGTTCTTTCAAAGCAGTGTTTCCAGTTTCCTCAGATATATTCCCCAAAGTGGAATCACTGGGGCACAAGGCAGTTCCATTTTTAATGTTTTCAGTTAATTCCATGCTGATTTCCACAGTGGCTGCATCAATCTGCATTCCCACCAACAGTGCACAAAGGTTCCCTTTTCTCTGCATCCCCACCAACACTTATTGTTTGTTGATGTGTTGATGAGAGTCATTTTGACAGGTGAGATGGTATCTCATTGTGGTTTTAATTTGCATCTCTCTGATGATTAGTGATAGGGAGCATCTTTTCATATGTCCATTGGCCATCTGTATGCCCTCTTTGGAGAAGTGTCTATTCAGGTCCTTTGTCCATTTTTTTTAATCGAATTTGGGTTTTTTTGGTGTTGAGTTAAATAAGTTCCTTACGAACTTTGGATATTAACTTCTTTTCTGATGTATCATTGGCGAATATGTCCTCCCATTCAGTGAGTTGTCTTTTCATTTTGTGGATGGTTCCTTTTGCTGGGAAAAAACTTTTTAGTTTGATATAGTCCCATTTGTTAATTTTTTCTTGCCCGAGGAGATATATCAGGAAAAATATAGCTAAGAGAGATGTCAGAGATTTTTACTGCCTATGTTTTCTTCTAAGATTTTTATGGTTTCTAGTCTTACATTTAAATCTTTAATCCATTTTTGTATGGTATAAGAAGGGGGTATAATTTTATTTTTTTGCACATATCTGTCTTATTTTCCTAACACCATTTAATAAATAGACTATCTTTACCCCATTGTATTTTCTTGCCTCCTTAGTCAAATATTAATTGATCACAAAAGCATGGATTTATTTCTGGGCTCTCTAGTATGTTCCACTGATCTATATGTCTGTTTTTATGCCAGTACCATGATGTTTGGATTACTATGGCCTTGTATTATAGTTTGATATTAGATAGTGTGATTCCTCCAACTTTGTTCTTCTTTCTCATGATTGCTGAAGCTATTTGGGATCTTTATGGTTCCATAGAATTTTTGGAATATTTGTTCTAATTCTGTGAAATAGACCACTGGTATCTTGATAGGAATTATGTTGAATCTATAGATTGCTTTGGGTAGTATGGACATTTTAATGATATTAATTCTTCCTATTCATGAGCATGGTGTATGCCTTCACTTATTTGTATCTTCTTTAGTTTCTTTCTTCAGTGTCTTATAACTTTCTGAGTAGTCTTTTATATTCTTGGTTAAATTTATTTCAAGGTATTTTTTGATGCAATTGTAAATGGGATTGTTTTCCTAGTTTCCCTTCCTGAAAGTTCATTATTGGTGTACAAAAATGCAACTGATTTCTGGATATTTATTTTGCATCAGCTATTTTACTGAATTCATTTATCAGTTCTAGTAGTATTTTTGGTGGAGTCTTTAGGGCTCTCTAGAACAGCATGCCATCTGCAAATAATGACAGTTTACTTCTTCCTTATAAATCCTTTTTTGAACTACAACATCTTTTCCTCACCAATGAATTAGCATAGCATTTTTCCATCTGTGGATTAACATAGCAGTTAACTCTTTGTGTAACATTTTGTTTGTGTATCTCTTTCTCTCATAAGGCTATGAATTCAAGTGTGAGCAGGAGCAGACATTTTTATTTTGATTTTCTTAGTCCCTGGCACAAAGGTGACATTCAGCAAAATTGCTTGAATTGAATTGAGAATGTCACTTAATTTAACATGTTTGCTATTATAAATTTGAGATGTTTACTTACATCATTTTGAAAGCATTCTTGTCAGTCTTTTTCATGTGATATATGCATATATATTTACATGCATACACACACACATAAGTACATATCACTTGAAAGAGTGACAATTTGCAATGGAGTCAGATTAATTTGGTCCTTTTATTAAACTTTAAAATAGGGCTTCCCTCAATTTGTAGGCAGAGTTTCTCTTAGAACACTTCTAAGGTCAAGATAGGTTAATATATTCAGATGGGATTGAAATAACAGATGTATTGCTATTTCTAGTCCTGAGCTGTTGGGGAAGCAAGGAGGAAGGAGGCATAATTGTACAATGCTTTGTCATCTTAGCAGCTCATCAATATTAGCAGCTGACACAGGCAAGTGTTTGCTAATGAATTCTATTGGCTGACACTGACTTTGTCGTTACAACCATTGCTTCCTTGACATCTCTTAGATTGGCATGTGGCACAAGACTCCGTGCGCAGCTGGTACCTTGGATTTGAATGTACTGTGAGTTCTCTGGCATTGTTAGTACAATTCCTTGTTATTGTCACCATGTCATACCTTTGACATCAAAAATGGCTGCATTTCGTCTCTGTGTTTATTGCTTTATATCACAGTAGTTATGTTTTAGTTGATAGGACTTTTTATAGTGGCAGCAGATAACATGTTAAATTAGCTATGGACTGATGCATGCTCAATTTTTGAATTGCTCAAGGAAAGTTGATTTTAGTAAGACTTTATATAATGAGTAGCAATTTAAGTAAATTGTGGGTTGCAGTGAGAATCATGAATTTGTAGAACTGCTTTTTATTTAAGATGTAACTGTTTTTGACTAAACTTGAGGTTATATATATTTTTTATTTTTAAACATTTTAAGTAGAAGAACTTGGGATTGTAAAAATGTATTATCATTTGAATGATTTGTTCGTAGAATATGTTTCAAAATGCAATTTTAACTTCTATTTATTTTTTTGCAATTTTAACATATTCTTAGTTATTTGTTGGGATTACAAAATATAGAAGCCACAATTCTCACATTTTCTCCTTTATCTTACCTTGAACTTCTCTCTCTCTCTCTCTCTCTCTCTCTCTCTCTCTCTCTCTCTCTCTCTTCCCCCTCTCCCTTTTTCTTATCTCTGTCTCTCCTGATCCCTCCCTTCTCTCTTTCCTAATCTGGCACCCAAACATTTTTCCCCTCTTCAGGTGAAACTTAGCACTCAACTTTTAAAGTTTTATTACCTGTTCCACCTCCCCTCCCCCCACCTGCCAAAGTGTCCTTTGAAACTAAGAATTATCCACAGTAGTGACTGGAGATAAGATTGCTATTTATGGTGCTGCACATAATTACACTTACTGTTGGGTGTGTCAAGTCTACGATGATGGAATAATAAATGGGTACTGAATGTTCCTGCAGCTTTTATTTGTGAGGCATTGCTCATGCAGTCAGGGTCACATTACCTAGATGTAAGTGAAATAAAACCGGGAGAAGAGGACTTATCTAACCCACCATGAAGGCATTTCAGAGTGATTTGATTGTTTTTCTCTACTTTCTAGCAGGTGGCTATGTGTACATGTGCAATAGCTGGAAAAATTTTTAATTTAGGTTAATAAGAAAGAAAAGTACTCTTTGCCTTGCAAATGCAGGCATCTTTTTTTCTTCTAGAATTCTTCAAATTGGGAAGATTAGTACATTTTCATTGCCTTTTCAGCTGTAACTGTTCACAATGTCCTTGTTGTTGTAAAGGCCTTTTCACCTCACAGTTAAGGGGGCAGTTGAATCATGAATTTTTATTCCAGAAATTCAGCACTTGTGAAGTTCTGTAAAATTTTGTCTTTTCTTCCTCCCTCCCTCCCTCCCTCCCCCCTCTCTTTCTCTCTCTTTCTCTTTCTTTCTTTCTTTCTTTCTTTCTTTCTTTCTTTCTTTCTTTCTTTCTTTCTTTCTTTTTTTTCTAAGAAGTTATTTTGCTAAGACTTGAAGGTTTTTTTGAGATGATGTCAGAAGTTACTATAGAAATGTGTTCAGATTCTATGACAAACACCCACTTCTTGGGAGACCCAATAGGATGGATAGATCTGATTTCTAATCCCCTGCACTTATCCTGTAGATAGATTCTCACTGGTAATTGCATCCATAGGAGAATTTTTATCTTTAGTAAAGCACGGGCTCTACCTGGGCGTTCTCACGTCGATACCGAGGGGCATGGCCAGGTTAACCTGAGAGTAACACCTCCACCCTCTTCCTCTCTCCTGACTCCAGTCTCATAGTATCTAACTGCATCTCTGAGACACACAGTTCTGAGAAGCATTGTAGGACAATGGTTAAAGTTATGTTGCCATGGAGTTAGGCAGACTTGGATTTGAGTTCTAGATCTATCATTTGCTTGGTGTATGACCCTGTGAGAGGTTATTTAACTATTTTAAAAAATATCCTTAGGACTTTATTTTTAGAGAAATTTAGCCTCTAATTTCATGTTTACCATGATATCATGACTATTATCACCAACTCTGATTAAGTCAAAATTCTATCTGGGATGTTTGAAGATAGCAGGTTTCTCATTTATAGCTAGGATACTGGTCAACAAAAGGAATCAATGATTAAAGGGTGGAAGCCCAGCAGGGTGAGTCTTAGCAGTTTTACAAGGACAGCTGTGTAGTGTCCTGTGCGAAGCCTTCACCTTATCAAGTACAGATCTATTGCTTTGAAGAGATTATTGTGTATAATCTCTTACAGTTGTCTTCACATTAAGCATCTATTCATGTCCCCAGAATTCTAGCCTCATCTCAAGGAATCTCTTATTTCCCCCTCCTTGGCAGTCTCATAGCTTATTAAACTTTATTTTCCTTTATCTTGGTGACTTCTAAGTCTACATTTACTACTCTCACTTCTGAATTCTAGTTGTATATTTCCATCTTCTACCTGCAGCCCAATAATACCTCAAATTTATTATCTCTATAATAAAGTGATTTCTCTTCTTTTTTGCTAGTGGTATTAGTGTGTCTCAACTCTATTTTTTAAATTTCAAAATAGAATAAGTTTCTAAGTGTAATCTCTAATTTTATTTATATATATGTTTCATATACTTAATGGGCATTCTCAATGATTCAAAAAGTAGGAACATATACTACACATATTCCCTGAAAAACTTATTAAAATATATGAACTGCAAAACACAGGAAACAACAAAAAATGAGGAAGTGTTTAAAAACAAAATGATAAAAACAGGTGCTAAAATATGTTTTAGCAATGAATATAAAGGGAACAAATATCTTCTTTAAGGCCCTCATGGAATCCTACCTCCTCAAAAGTCCTATATAATAAAAGGCTAATATGCAAATTGTCCCCTGGATGGGGAGTTCCACCAGGAGTTCAACCAGGAGTTTGACTAGGGGGCAGGGCTGGCCGGCCAACCACCTGCGACCCCTCCCCCCAGCTGGCCCTGCCCCCGATTGCCCCCCCCCCCATCAGGGGCGGGGCTGGGCGGCATGGCTGGCTTGGCCTGATCAACCCCCAGTCAGGGCAGGCCAGCTCGACCCCACCTATGCACAAATTCGTGCACTGGGCCTCTAGGAATGTATAAATTTCTTAGGCTGCATTCCAAACTCTGTATTCTCTCCTGGACCCATCATAACCAGCCTGATTCATATGTCCTAAGTCCTAGATAAATGGAACTGTTTTCTATGCACACACCAATTTTGGCCTTAGCCTTGCTTACATTTATCACCTTTGCATGTTTGTTCATTTGTTTTCTATCTGCACTTACTCCTTGGGTAGGGGCTATAATTGAATATCAAGGCTTCAAGCGATCTATATATCTTGATAATTCCCACATTTATATTTTCAGACAAAACCTCACATTCAAACTCCTGATTCAACATCTTTACTTAGATTTCTACAAGACCTCTCCAACCCTGCATGTCCAAATTTAACTCCTATTTTTTCTCAGTGTAGATTAGTTAGTTTTTGTCCCATTTCAGTTAAAGGCAACTCCATTTTTTCCAGTCACTCAATTCCAAAACTTTGGAATAATCATTAACTCCCCTCATCTCCCATACCCCACAGCCTGTCCATTAGCATCACTATGGCTCTCTCCTCCAAACAGTCAGTCTCCCCAGTTCTTACTTCCTCCACAGCTACTATCTTGGTCCAAAACCAATCTTTTCTTGCCTAGATTTAGTGCAAAATTAGTGCCCCCTCTTCTCTCTCTTTGCTTCCAACCCACATTACCCCACGGTCTATTTGCTTCCAACCAATGTGCCATAAGAATTTTTAAAACATGCAAGACCTGACTATTTAGTCAGGGGCACTGACCTCTTGTCCTTAGATTGTTAAATTAAAAAAATGACAACAGCCAACATAACAATAGCTGTCCAGGGTGAATGTATCAAAATTTTACTTATTTTTTTGTCAGATCAGCAAAAATTATATTTTTTGGTGTACTGCAGAATTTTAGTAATTAGTTTATGGGTGCCATAGATTAAAAAAAAGATGAAAATTACTGGTCTATTATCTTCTTTTATTTTTAAGTGTAAACATTTATTCTCTTGCAAAGTTTTAGATTCTCCCACTCCCAGTCCTTTCCAGGACATTTTGTCAAAGCAAATCAGTTAAAATAAGCCAATATGATTAGTGTCTATTGCCCAATAATTGCCTGTACATATAAAATAAAATGATTGTTCAGTTATATTTTTGCTTCAGGCTAACAAAGGATTCATTGTCCCTTTTTGATAATTGATACTTGTGATTTGTTAGAAACAAGGTAAGCATATTTTGTACTAATATGTTTTAATATAAAGTATATTCTTTTAATATTTTTACCTTTTTATATTTCACTTGATATTAAAAATATCAAAGCTACAGAAAAGTTTCAAGAATAGTAAATTTCAAGAAAAGCAAAAATTGCCCTAGCCGGTTTGGCTCAGTGGATAGAGCATCGGCTTGCGGATTGAAAGGTCCCAGGTTCGATTCCGGTCAAGGGCATGTACCTGGGTTGCGGGCACATCCCCAGTAGGGGGCGTGCAAGAGGCAGCTGAGTCGATGTTTCTCTCTCATCGATGTTTCTAACTCTGTATCCCTCTCCCTTCCTCTCTGTAAAAAATCAATAAAATATATTTTTAAAAAAAAGAAAAGCAAAAATCCTTCATCTAGATTCACCAATTATTTAACATTTTGACGTATTTGCTTTATACCTCTATATCTATCATTTATCTATCTATTTATCTAGCTATCATTTTTCTTGTTCATTTTTCTTGAACCAATTGAGAGTAATCTATGAATATTATGACATTTCATCCCTAATAGCTCAGCATGGATTTTTCTAAGTATAAGAAAATTTTCTTATGCAACAGTTATCAAATGTAGGAAATTTAGCATAGATACAATAATGTTTCCTAACATATACCCTATATTAATTTTCTCCATTGTTACTACTCTGATCTCAAATTTATCCTTTCTTTTCTGGAGTAGTGCAAAATAATCGCACTGCCCTTTATAATACAAAGTAGGGCAA